GTTTGACCTATGTATTTGATCTGACAATCATTGCAAGCAGGGAATTAGATAAACTAAATTGTTTTGTTTTAAAGGCTCCACAGGATTGATCCTTTAACCGACAAAGCTTGTTTCTAATTGAGTTTGTGGGTTTGCATGCCGTTTTTATTCTTGCCTGCCTTGTTAAAAATTCTGCGTAAGGCTTCCGAGGTTCCGTCCATGTATAGAATTACTACTGATGATTTAGATTCCTTATTGTTGGTGTCGTCATTAATATTATTATCACTATCACTATTATCATTATCATTATTATTATTATCACTATCGCTACTATCATTACTTATTTTTATTTTTACATTTCCTTACATATTTCTTGACTAGTTTATCCGGGTATTTATTAAGTTTCAAGGCTTCTTTTATGTGTATCAGTTCCTGTTTTAGATTTTCTTTGGTACTACTTAGATTTTGTGCTCTGTCATTTAAACATTTCACCAATCCTATTTTTACTGACATAGGATGGGATGATCGGAAGTCCAAATATCTGTTGGAGTGTGTGGGTATCCTGTAAACACTAGTGTTTAACTTCCCATCTTCTTTCCTCTTTACGTTGCAATCTAACATTGGAAGCTCCCCTCCTTCCTGACTTTCCAATTCATAAGTGAATTGAATTGGCTCTACCTTCGAGTTGATGTGTTCGAAAAATTTATCTATATCTTGTGTTCTAAGTACAGTGAATGTGTCATTTACATACCTCCACCATACTTTTGAGGTGGGGCTGAACGTTTCAATCGCTATTTTTTCCCACCTATCCATGAATATATCTGCTACAACTGGGGATATTGTTGACCCCATGGCAACTCCCTCAGTTTGTTTGTATATTTTTCCCTGGAATTAAAATACTGCGGAAGTCAGGCATATCTGTACTCCCAGCATTATCTCCTCAAGTGACACTTTCGTCCTATGTTCGAGTTCTTGGTCAGAAATGAGTTCGTTTCTGCCTGCCTGCCTCGATAGCCATATTTATTGGTACTAGACGAATCAGTCTACGCTGAGTCTCTACTTTATGACATGAAGAAAAGAGGAAATGATTTTCTAGATTCCTCCTGTTCAACAAATCTCTTGTAACGCCAAGTGATTCCCTAAAATTGAAGACTGGCTGGCTGGCTGGCTGGATTCAACATAGAACTTGGCACCGAAGTGCAGCAGTTCCAGTTGCCACGTTCCAAATAGCACACAAAGGTAGAAAAGAAAACGAGTGAAGAGAATCAATAGAGTTTTGATAAGTATAAGAGTGAAACAGGATGAGTAATGGTAGAAAGGAAAATTGAAGACTACACGCTTATATCATTCAATGACTTCAATAAGACTAGGATTCATAAGTGATTGCATTGCATATGCCACTTCAATGAATGGTCAACAAATAAACACCTCTTAACGCAACCACCTCCATGTCACCGGTAGACGCACGACCAACTCGTCGTTTGCCATCGAGTTCCTACTGGAGTGCTGCATGGTGTGTGATGCCTGCTTGAATATCTCCCCCGGGGTTTATCCAGTTCATCGCCATTTCCTGCGGCCTGTATTATTGACCGATCGGTTCATTGCTGGTTCGTTAAATGTCAGAGCTTCCATGTTGCTTATCCATTCGTGCATGTCAGCGTCTAGTTTGTGGACTATATGGAAGCACTGACTGTGATATGACATCAATGATTTCAGAATTCGGATCTAATTGTTTTTTATATTACATTCACAATAGATTGCAGGTTATCATCATCACATAAGTAGTATATTTTCAAATGACACAATTTTTAATTACAAATAAGCATTTGATTGGCAGATGGTGACTAGCAGTGGGCATTTCGTCCTATTTGGGGCTTGTCATCCGGATGAAGTTCCCACCGAGGCTCGAACCCATTGCCCATAGTTTCAAACGCCAAAGCGTTATCCACCAGACCACTTGGGCCACGAGAGCCACCTCTTGTGCAACGGGTCATACTGATTTAATTGAATATTTGGATTTTCCCGTCGATTGATTGGACCGAAGTGCTCGGTCTCAGGTTGATATGTCTGTTGGCTTCTTGAGCAGATGCTTCAACGATGTCTGGGCAATATGACGAAATGCTCATCCTGGATTCCACTGCTAGTCACCATCTACCAATTAAATACTAATTAAATGCCCAGACATTGTCGAAGCATCTGCTCAATAGGCCGACATGTCACACTGAGACCGAGCACTTCGGTCCAGTCAATTGGCGGAAAAATCTAAAAATTCGATTAAAAACAAATAAGCATAGATTAATTATTAGACAAGCGAATTAGAGACCAAATGGTGTACTTCACTTCACTTTACCCTACCTGACAGATAGTCCGCTTTGAATTGAAAATTACAACCCACTGAAGGATTAATCCGAGCATATTTTCAATCACATAAGCTAAATTCAATCGGACAATTGTCAATTCATCTTGTGAACTGTCGGAGGGAAATTGTGAGAGGAGAGGAGAGGAAAGAAAAGAAAAGAATATAAAATCCGACTTAGTAATAATAAGAATTTCAAATTTCTATAAAGTATAAATTTGTCAAGACACTGGTGAAACGTGGTGACCAGAAAGGTCCTCATTGTCGAGTGTGAGGACAGACATTCACCAGCTATGACTCTTACTAGTGGTCATGCTAAAATCAAGGATTCCTAGAAGCTGGAAATCACAGATCTCTGGGTCAGGTCCTAGTGTTTGAATAGTCTTTTTGAGCTCACTCACGTTGTAACTCGAAAGTCCTGGGTTTGGAACTATATTTACTTTTATGATTGGATTGTGAGTAAAAATTAATTGGGCTTCAACAGCCCATCTACACTTCGTTCCTACTTTCTGCTGTCCTCTTCAGCTGGCTAGCTACAAGATTGACCATAAACTCTCATCATTTCCTACTCCTTGCCACACCACCTCCTCCATTTCACCCTTGTACTGGCAACTTACTCGTCGCTTCCTATTGGAATAACACTGAAGCCATGGTCTGCACTACGGGTGGTGTCATTCGATAGCTTCTTCAACGTATGCCCGATGAATACATCTCCAATTTCTGCCACATATATTTGCGTATATGTTGAACGATGGGTTCTTGATTAGTTTGTTCCCAACCAGAGTTTCTCGATGCTAATTCTTTCTGGCTGGTCATTTGATCTTCCATATAGAGTCTTAATTTGCCTGCCAGGAATGCTTTTCATAATGCACAGTGCAAGTTTCTGACAAATACAGGAAAACTGAGTGACTGACTGATATTGATTTGATATTTCTGTTGAAAATCCGAACAAATCTTGCTCTTTATGCTGCCTGAGTCAATTCAGAAGATTTCCAAACTGGTATCAGATTGGTGAAGGCGTATTCTGCATTTTCACTTCTGCCTGAGTTTGACACCGTCATCCTTTCCGCCTGCCTATGGCTGAAATCGTTCTTCCCGTTGACGGTGATTGGTGCTGATTGTTGTTCTTGTTGCTGTTGGTTGGTTGGTTATCTTCATTACCTCTCTCTCCGTCTTCTCTATGCTCATCTGGAGTCCTATTATCGCCGCGCTGCTTCTTCTGCCTTTTTGTTGGTTTTCGCCTGTAATTCTTAGAGTTTGTGTAAGTGACATTCAACATTAATCATCCACGTGTGAAATCCAAATCTTCTAGAGTCTTCTTATCGGTGATTACAGTGTTTTCCCGTCTTCTCACTCTCCAGAGTCTAACGCAATGCACTCTAACGGATGCATACTGATAATGAAGAGTCCCAAACGAAGATAAAACAGCTGTCCAGTACTCCTTGATCTTTCAGTAGTTCTCTAACAGTTGTCGGCTCCTGATCAAACTTCAACCTTAATGTGCGTCGGTGGCACAGTGGTTAGGACTCTCGCCGACCATGCACTTGGTCCGGGATTCGATCCCCTGCCAACGCACACCCGATATCTATGGTCGGCCTGCGAAATTTGGGCTACCGATATCCATGCTGAAAATTCCATACTTGTACTGAAAATACAGTGTGGCATCAAGCTGTAATCAAAATAAGAAAATAAAAATATACAGAATGTGAATGGATTAGATATACGCTGAGTTGACCATCAAATGGTGTTACATGCCAGTCAGTGTGTGTATGTGTGTCGAGTGGAACACGTATGGTAGGCGAGTGACGAGTTGAGCGTGTTTCCGAGGCTGACAATAGAAGAAGATAATGCGTAGAAGAAATGAGCCATTCAAAAGTGATAATAGAGAATCGAATGCGTTCAACACTCTGAAGTGTTCTGAAATCGATTGTCGAAATGAAACTCTTAACATTAGGATAGCAGGTCAAGGTGTCATCAAAAGTGCGCATGTGAAAGTAGAAACAAGAAATGCAAAGAAGCTACGATAAGTCTCATTGCGAACTGATATCAATTAGACAGCCACAGGAAACACAGAGAATACTGGACATCTGATTCATCCAAATTCGGGAAACTTCAGAAGTAGGCAACAACCACAGTTCTAACCCAAGACCTTAAAACGATTAAACTCGTAGACCATTTAGCCACTGTGACACGATCCAATGGCCCACGAATTCCAGCTTCTACGAATTCGTGATTTAAGCCCTAACCGCCGGTCAATGTCATCACTGGTGAGTATTTGTCCTCCCGCTCGATCTTGTTGGCACCACTGGCCATCACTTTGGGCTAAATCTCCAGCCAATTCCGTTCTCTAGGCAGTGGTAAAACCATCTGGGATGGCAGTGGACTAGACTCTGCTGGCAGAAATTTCGGACCAGTGACATCATGATTACCACTGCCTGAGTATATCACCAGATATAAGACCCAATCGATTGTAATTCACACTTCTGTCATGCTTCCAGAAATGCTCAATCCAGTTCATCATGGAAAGCAACAATCTTGAATGTAAATTTCTTGAAGAAACAGGTTAATGTGTCCAATTTCAATCTGGCGGGCATTAAAATGTCTCAATTTTTAAAAACTATGTATTTGAAAACCGAAAATATCACCAAAATATATATCCTGAAACTTACATATCTTCGCGTTCATAGTAGAATTTAGTCCCACAATTTGTCCTATGAAAATAATATCAAATGAAACACGATCAGATTAAGTTCAAATTGATCCAGTTTGGTAATTAAAAAGGAACATCTCACTTAGATTTCTAAAAGTAACAGATCCACTACAAGTGAACGCTTGAGAGATAATGAAAAACAATTCGAGTGAAGTTAAATTATAGCAGTCACAACAATCGACTTAGCCACTGACTTTGAGCGACTAATCTAAATGAACCATCTGCTCTTGTGGAACAAGGTATATTGGCCGTAGCCAGAGGACGCTTTCTACACACATACGAGAACATATTCCAGCTGCATGGTTTTAATAATAATAATAATAATAATAATAATTTGCTTTATTCCAAAACAGTACATGTGATACAGAATGGAATTCTCAGCATTTTTACTACAGTATTGCATCCACTTAGTACATTATCAATAAATAAAATTCTACATAGATTGAGGAAACCACAGTTCATTATTACAACAAAACATTGGCATGTCAGTAGCAAAGGTAAAGCTGAAACAGTGTTTGAAGGTGTTAGAAAAGTGGGAGCTGTCTTATTAACTGGCGTAAGCGAGAGAAAGAGACAAAGCAGCACATAACGGAAAAAGAAGAGAGAGAAAAGGAACAGAAAGAAAGAAAATGTCATACCTATTGATGAAGTGGGTTGGAAAGACGAGATCCAGTTGTACTACTGACTATTTGATGAATTATAGGTGTCACGCGTAATGCTTTCTTTATCACACAGAACACGAGTTAAGTAGGGTATGGTTGAGTTTTTGTACTTGCTGGTGCGACCATATAGTTTTCTACATTGGCTTCGTGATTTTTAGCGCGACCCCAACTATTGTCGTTGGTGGGACATCCATCCACACACGTGACTTCTAATTGGACCTCACTGGTCACGACTTCTCACTAGAACTGCAGGAAGCTCCAACCTGTAGCAAGTCACTAGCGAGCATCAGGACATTACAAATATGTGATGACTGCTTGCATATTTCTATTGGTAAAAATATCTATCGATAAGTGACCTTCAAATAAAGTAAAGAAGAAAAGATCGAGGAGGCTGAAAGGAATGTTTATTTGGTGAAACGTATGGTACATAGCTAAATTTGGTATACCATATTCTCAACCTGCCATTTGCACATCATTTACCACATCCTTGACGAATTGGTCGAATATCGTCACATTCGATAGCTTCTTGGATTCTGCATCATATGGCAACATTCTTCTCATGGTTCTCTTCTTTAATTGCTCTTTCCAGTGTGCTAAACATATTGTTACTTCGTTTCTGATATACTACTTATATTGGATTATAAGTAGCACTCACCACACTCGCCCCCTCATTATAAAGTCTCTCCTGTAACCACACATGATCGCCGCACAGACGTTTCATCCTGCTGCTCTTCTGGTATCTCGTCTTGACATTCTTGTCTCCATCTTTGTAGCAGACTGGCGTTTACTCTTTTCTCTTTATCTCCTCTCTTTATTGTGTACACTGTACCGCGTCTCGATGTGACTACATATGGTCCCTCCCACTTCGGCAGAAGCTTTCCTGATACTGGTCCACTTCCGGTAGTATACTTTCGTTCTCTACATTTCACCTGGTCACCTACTTCAAACAGCTTCCAAGCTTTGATTTGTTTCTTGCCATAATTTTCGATGTCTATCTTGCGCTTCTCTTGTATATTCTGAATAGCTTGTTTCCGCTCACTTGTCCATCTCTTACTGTTCCATTTTTGTTGTTGTGGCCAAGTCTTATGGTGCACCGGTAAGCGTGGTTTCCTCCCATACATCAGCTGGAAAGGCGATTTTTTGTTGTCCCTTGTACTGTGGCACGATGTGCCAGTAATACCAACGGTAAGTCAGTTCCAGTTGCCTCTTTTCGCAGCTAGCCATTCCTTGAGTGTACGATTATTCCTTTCGGTTAAGCCGTTTTTCTGCGGATGATACGGAGTCGCTCTAATTCTCTTAATACCCAGTGCCTCCAGACGAGTCTTGAACTCCTCACTTTCAAAACAGGGGCCTTGATCTGTCAATATCATTTTTGGTACACCATGATCCGCCACAATATGTCGAATAACCGCCTCGGTTACGGTCTTGGCGCGCTGATCTGGAATCGCTACAGCATTTAACCACCGCGTGGTATGTTCCGTCATCATTAAAATGTATTGATTTCCACTGGCTGTTTGAGGGAAAGGACCCATTATGTCCACGGACCATAAGTCACCAACCGCCGTTACGGGTATCGTTTGTAGCTGTGGTCGAATGCACCGATCACCCTTCATCAATTGACATTGTGGGCAAGCGAGTAGGTAGTTTGCAATATCGCCTCTCAGGTTTGGCCAGTACGCACTTTGGCTCACTAGGTCGTATGTTCGTGCAACTCCTGTATGGGCTAGTTGGTGGCATTCTTGAATGACCCCACGACGAATAATTTTTTGACTATATATTTTGATGATTAATAAAATCTGAATAATTCTGCTGCTAAGGAGGAAGCTGTGGCAGCTTACAAACAGCGAAACGTTCAGAAAACAGATCTTGTTTTGATTTTTATTTTTTAACACACCGGGATTAATTAAAGTAATTTATAATGAATCAATCTGACTCGTCGCTCAAATAATTCTACGAAGCTGCAAAAACATCTATGGTCTCTTGTCATTAGTTGCTTATCAATCAGTGGCTCTACACCAGCCAAGAAGAGCAATAGGGTTCAACTGAATCGGCAACACTAATTTTATTATAGAGAATTGTATATAACGCAGTGTAAGCGAACTCACCATAGAATGGAGGCTATCGGTATAGCTGCAAGGAATAATTGACATATGACAATCAGATGACATAGTGATACGGATCCATTCGCTAGATTGTTAGCATTATACGCTCGAGATGTGTCGAGTTCTGTGGTAATCTACAAAAATAAAGTGTGAACAATATACATTTAGGCAATTAGGCTTGGAAACAAAAAGAGAGTTTTACGAGTTGATCACGGACTGATATCAGTTAGAGAACCATTGAAAACCAGGGAGTACTGGACAGCTGCTGTTTCATCCTAGTTTGGGAATCATCGGCAGTACGCACCCACTGGGATTCGAACCCAGGACCTTCCGGTTACAAGGCAAGCTCGTATACCATTCAGCCACTGGGACCCGATTCAATCATTAATTGGTAGAAGTTAGAATTCATGAGCCATTGAATCGGGTCCCAGTGGCTGAATGGTATACGAGCTCACTGGCCTTGTAACCGGAAGGTCCTGGGTTCGAATCCCAGTGGGTGCGTGCTGCCGATGATTCCCAAACTAGGATGAAACAGCAGCTGTCCAGTAGTCCCTGGTTTTCAATGGTTCTCTAACTGATATCAGTCCGTGATCAACTAGTAAAACATAACTAATCCTTACAAACCAAAAACTATAGAAAAACAGAGTTGCATATATATATGTGTGTGTGTATAGAAACAAGGTTTAGCTAGACATAGCATAACAAAAAGGTAGATTACGTAACTAAAGAAAATGCTTTATCTAATAGCCAATAGAAAAAAAAGGAAGAGAAAAGAACAAGAAAGGGTGAGTCATGTTTAGATGAGAGAGTAGAGTTTTCTAAACAAGAAAAAGGTGACTCATACAAGTTGTATATTTTGTTGTCATCAGGGCAGTGCAAGATTCACCACTGTCTCTTTCTGCGTACACATAGATTTGGTTTAAGTCGTCTGATAGCAATTGCTTCAGCAAAGCGTACCAAGTTAGGTTTCTTTTGCTTGTTGATTATTTTGAACGACTTCAGGTTGTCTATATTATGACCACTGTGTCCAATAGATGACGCGCAATCTTACTGTTTACTGCTTGTGGACCTTTCAGTCTCAGGTTCTGTTTGGTATGTGTTCAGAAATGCTGACAATAACCCTTCTCCACCCCCTCCTACTACCGTGGGTTTAATTTCAAGTTTATCTGTCATCAAAATTTTGTTATCAAATTTTCTTTTGCAATTTTCATATAATAAATTTTAGTAACTAACCCATTCAATCTTTTCACCTATTATCTAGTTTATTTTCATAATTGTCTCCATACTCCTTCACTAACATCTAATCTTTCTAAACATGTCTATATTACGTAACCCTACTCACATCTTACCGATCTTCACCCCATTTAGTTACAACTTTGATTATTAATCACACATTTTAATTTCTTTATTATTTTGATGATATAATCAACAACCCACACTAACTGTTATTTTGATTTTGACAAACCTAATGTACACACACACACAAAATTAATTATATATATTTGCGACTGTACAGCTAAGTGAATGAATTCGCCGAAAAGAGACTCTTCGCTGAACTAATTTGTTCTTATTTCAATGTGTTAATGGGTATATTTCGCGAATAACCCTTCTCTCTGTTCTTCCGATGTATGTGCTTTGGCACGTACATGCAAATTGGTAGACACAGTTGGAGGTAACATGAGGTGGGCATTTGTCCACTTTTGATTGTCTCAAACAACTAGTTGTTTGATAAACACATACAAGCTTGGCGGCTGGATATGTTCTTTTCAGGGCAGCGTTCAGTCTGCATCTTATTCTACTGGCAGTATCATCACCTTTGAATGCAAGCTGCAGAAAGATAGGCTTTTTCTCTACTGTGCTGATTTTCACTTTTTCAACATGACGTCTCCCACCATACTTATCGATGAACTTTTCTGGGTAACCGTTGTCGTGTAGGCATTTCTGCACAATTGATAGCTCTTCCTCAATCTTTTCTTCTGAACACAGCTTCCTTACACGATCAAATAATGTTCTCACCAATCCTCTTTTGTAACTTATAGGGCAGAAACTTTTGAAGTTAAGATAAACCGCCCTCCAGGTCTCTTTTCTGTGTATATATCTTATGATTTTGCCGTCTATATATCGTTAGATACCCAGGTCAAGAAATATATATATATACATTTATATATATATGTGTATCAAAGTTGATTATGTCACGAATCTTAAGCAGCTGCGAGAAAAAGAAATTGTAGGAAACTAGAGAACACCGAGCACCTGCTACATCCTCGCCTAGGACTCATCATTAGTATGCCTTTTGTTACGCAAACAGGATAAATTGTCAACACACATGGTTACGTAATTAAAGCTATTACCCTAGACGCTGAAGTGATACCATCAAGTGACTTGACACATCAGGACGTAAACTGGAAAGGAAATGCGAAGCGACAAGTTGCCTGTGGGTTCAAAGGTGATATTGAGAAGATTTATGTAAGGGGGAGATGCAAGTTTGTGGGCAGTCCCATGGCCAGTTGAAAGTGAGGACTAAGAATGGAGCAGCATAGAAGTGCACCATTCCGAGCTAATAGAATAAATGATGTAACCATGATACCATCCACAGAAACTCCTTTCAAAGTGGGACAGTGGGACCATACACTGTCTGTCACTTAGAGATGTGGTTTCGTTTATATCATCAAAAGAGATAACAAACTAAATGGTGTTAACGCCAGTCAACTCTAGAGATGGATACAGTCGAATAAACAAGTCGGTAGCAAGACACAACAACAGTGGGTGGCACCAAGAAGGTTTGATCGGCTACGCTGGAAACTGTGTGGAAACCGGGGCACGAGTGTGACGTGTACTATTGACAACATTTACAAGTAGTATGTAGATGCAGACATAAATATTTAATGAATATTAGTTGCAAGAATATTGAACACAACGGACAGATGGATCTGATAACGAAGAGAAGAAACGAAGAATGCTTGTGATGAAACAACATAGTACGCATGTATTCTGCCGTCACACTGTCAATGAGTGTTCCTTATCATCACTGTTGTTCGCCTGAAGACAGACATTGATATAATATCCCTTTTTTATTCCTTACTTAACTGGTTGTCGAGATGACGTTGATCTATTTCTTCAAGACTGCAGAATTAACTCAAAAAGTAATAATAATAACAATAATAATAATTTGCTCTATTCCCAAACAGTACTTGTGATACAGAATGGAATTTTCAGCATTTTTACTACAGTATTGCATCCAGTTAGTACATTATCAATAAATAGAATTCTACATAGATTAAGGAAATCTCAGTTCATTATGACAACAACACATTGGCATGTCGGTAGCAAAGGTAAAGCTGAAACTGTGTTTGAAGGTGTTAGAAAAGTGGGAGCTGTCATATTTACTGGCGTAAGCGAGAGAAAGAAACAAAGCAGCACATAACGGAAAAAGAGAGAGAGAGAAAAGGAAAAGAAAGAAAGAAAGAAAATGTTGTACCTATAAATGATATGAGTTGGAAAGACGAGGTCCAGTTGTACTACTGACTATTTAATGAACTATAGGTGTCACACCTAATGCTTTCTTTATCGCACAGAACACGAGCTAAGTAGGGTTTGGTTGAGTTTTTGTACTTGCTGGTGCGAGCATATAGTTTTCTATATAGGATTCTGGTTCTACCTGATAAGATGCAGGAGGAGAGTTGTGAGTGAAGAGGATGGTGTGAGTTAGATAAACTGGGTTTGGCTCATTTTTCACATGAGTCCATGTGCCTGTCAACCAGAATATTAACAAGCTGGTTAAGTGGCACGTTGCTTACCCTGCTGACAACCTTTAACATCCTGCGTAATATGTTCAAACAAATATATTTACACTATCTGCTCAACGTCTATAGCATCTTCAAGTGTTGGGTTCATGGATTGTTGATTGATTTTAACGTAGATTCACTCACAAAACGACATCAATAATCAGAGAATCCTTGAAATCAAGAAGTGCTGAGCAAAACTGTCTCGTCAACTTTTAGAACTGTTCAACAATAACGCAACTAGTAGATTCCAATTCTATGGACAGATGATGAAAATCTAATTCCCGGGCTAACTCTTTGGCTGGGGCAATAATGCGGACAGGATTGCCTTATCTCCAATGAACTGCTAAATAATGTCAGTTTATGACGAAATCTGTGGATCGCAAACATCTACTAGTAATGTCCATCTTACTCTCAATAGCCTAATTTATTAAGACAAAATATCTGGCAGAAGAAGCATCAAAGGTAGGACTTCAGGTGAACATAGAGAAAACAGAGGTGAAGAAGATTCCTCGGCAACACCACCAACAGCAACAACAACAACAGACAACAATCAGCATAAATGGAAGGAACCTAAAAGAAACAACCTCTTTTACCTGCCCGGGAAGCATCGTTTCAACTACAGGCGGAACTGACGAGGATATCAAAGCAAGAATCGGAAAAGCAAGACAAGCTTTCACTACTCTCAAGTCTGTGTGGAGGTCAACAACACTCATCATCAAAAATAAGATCGGGATTTTCAACTCTAATGTGAAGTCAGTGCTACTCACTATACGGATCAGAGACTTGCACTGCGCGTCATGAAGAGCATCTCAAACAAACTACAGACCTCCATTAACAGTTGTCTTCGCTCAATACTCAAGGTCACGTGGCCGGTCAGAAAAGATCAGCAACAAAGATTTCTGGGAGCGAACCAACCCAGCAGGAACTGATTGTGAAACAAATGTGCAGGAAGAAATGGAGATGGATTGGCTGGCCATACCCTGAGGAAACCATCAAGTGACATCACTAGACAAACCATTGCTCGAGTGGAACCCGAAAGGGAGGCGACGAGTTGGTCGTCAGAGCAAGGGTGACTTGGAGGAGGTCATGTGAAGAGGAGATGAAAACGTGTGGGTAGACATGGAGCCAGGTGAAGACTCTAGCAGAGAACCGAACGCAATGGAGACGCACAGCTGAAGCCCTATGTTCCTCTAGGAATTAAAGGATACAATAATAATCATAAGAATTCATGGGTCAATGGATCGAATCCCAGTGGCTTAATGGTCTACGAGGTCCCTGGCCATGTAACCAGAGTTAGAATCCTTGAGATGGCTGTGTACTGCTGCAGAGTCCCAAACTATTGTTGAACTTCGCCCAGTATTGGTCCCTTTTTATTGATTTCATATTAAAGCTTACTGTGAAGATATTTTGAAAAATTATATTTGTAATATCTCAGCGATATTGAAATGAGTAATTCCAACGTTTCGTTCGGCAATCTGGTCAGAACTTCTTCAGAGAAATTAATCGAAATTAACATAAAATAGGTTTATATATAAAAAGGGAGACATCTCTTGTTTTTAAAAACTTTGTCCAATCATATAAGTCATGAAACAGGTATCAACATGAATAATAAAAAAAATTGTATGAATTGTGATCAAAATTTGACCTTGGACTTACAAATATTGGTCTACCTTTGTTAAACACTTTAAACAGAGTGTGTGTGTGGGTAAACAGTTGTAAAACATTTCTTAACGTCTCCACAGGAAGATATGGACAGTGGAGAATTTTGACCAAGTACTAATAATTAGTGATACATATCCATTTGTATTTATTAATAAGGATTTCCTATGCATCAGCTAACATCACGCCTTCGTGTCTGTTCAAACTGTTAGTATCTAGAATTTTATGATTAGACGCATTTTCAAAATTATGGTGTTTAGGATTAGAGTTTAGTTGAGGCACGCTGTCGAACTTATTGCTTTGTTTTCTTTCTGAAGATTGAGCTGCTTTATTTGACCTACTGGAGTTGTCAGGTGACTCGACAGCTACGGATTTAGGATATGCATTCTGTTGCAGCCAACGGAGAGTGAAAACACGATGATTGTGCCAATTACACAGTTTCTTTGTCAAAATTCTCGACTGTCCATATCTTCTTATGGAAACGGTAAGAAATGTTTTACGACTGTTTACTCACACACAAATACACACTCTGTTTAAAGTGTTTAACAAAGGTAGACCAATATTTGTAAGTCCGAGGTCAAATTTTGATCACAGTTCATACAATTTTGTTTATTATACTTGTTGAATGACTAATGATTGGAGGAAGTTTTTGAAAACATGTGATGTTCCTTTTATATATAAACCTCTGTTGTGTTCATTTCGATTAATTTCCCTGAAGAAGTTCGGACCAGACTGCTGAACGAAACGTTGGAATTACTCATTTCAATCTCGTTGAGATTTTACGAATATATTTTTTTCACAAATGTCTACTTCTTACTCGGCGCCCAAATATTTTAGAACTATTCTGTCAAATCTTGATGACGACAGTTCATTTGAATTAAATATATTCTGCTTGCGTATTCATGTATTCAGTGTGTTTTAGCATAGACAGGCAAAAAAGGGCTGAACAAACATTTTTCAGTGCTGATCCAGCAGACAAATGACCTTCCTGCAGTGTCCAATAAATCATAGAAACATTTTTCAGTAGTGAAAAGATGGTTATTATCTCGTGTCAATATATATATATATATATGCGTCACTGGTAGCACCCTTATCAATCACAAGGCAGGTGTGAACCCCAGCGGACGCATGCTTTAACCTTATCTAGTCTACTAGCTGGCAATTAGTAAACCTGGATAAGATGGGAAGTTTGACGTTAGGCTAACGACTCGACCCCATGGAAATAACAACATCAGCACTGAGATTTTATATCCTGAAGGCCTAAATTTCTCTCAGAGTGCTAATTAATACAGAGTAGACTTTTCTTATAGCTTCAGTTATGCTTTAATTACCTCCACTATGTGAGCAACATTGATCTGAGAGACGGAGATTAATTGATTGTCTAACTTTCACACAACAACTGCGAGGTTATATGAAGTCGGTGCCACTTACTATACGAATCAGAGACTTGGCATCACATCACAAAAGGCATTTCGAATAAACTACAGACCTGTGTCATCAGCAACAACTGCATATCTTTGCTCAATACTACTCAAGATCAGATGGCTGGCTGGCCGGCCAGCCAGAAAACATCAGCAACAGGGAAGGAGGCATCTCTGGCAATGAATCAACCAACCAAGCCAGCCAGTAGGAAGCAATTGTACTGAACAACAAGTATTCAAGAAGAAATCCAGTTAGTGGATTGGCCATACTCTGCGAAGACAAACCATCATCAAGTGAGTGACACCCACCAAACGCCAGGCAATCGTTGCAGTGGAATGGGAAGCGAGTGGCGAGTCGATTGGTCGTCAGTGTGAGATTGACATGGAGTTGTGGAGGAGGTGATGCGAAGAGGAGATGATGAAAGCATGTGGACAGACAAGCGTGGAGCCAGGTGATGGAAACGTTGGCGGAGAACCGATTGCAGTGTAAACGTGCGTCTGAAGCCTTATATTCCTCTAGGAATTAAAGGAATCAATAATAATAATATGTCATTCTTATTACAAAATGTAACATAAGGGAATCTATGGTTCTTTTGTTAGTAATAATAATAAGGACTTACCTTCACCAAGGCATATAAACCACTCTTCTTTCCGATAAATTTCATTTTAGACTGTTCACCTTCTTCCATTGGACAAGTATCCTTTTCATCTATATAACCTCGACTCTCAGGACTCAAATAAATGCATATATAATGAGCAAACGTAGGACTTTTAACAATATTGAATTTTAGCTTCAAAATAGTTTCCTTTAAAAAAATAAAAGGCGGGGGTGGGGTTGAGGAGATGAAATAAAATAAGCATGGTTCACTAGTAATAATTGGTAAAATGGTTACAGGACTTCATCATGGGCTGACGTCACTTAGAGAACCATTGGAAAACGTGGGAGTACTGGACAGCTGTTTCGTCAGCCTACTTTGGGACTCTTCATCAGTACGCACCCGTCGGGACCTTCTGGTTACAAGGCGAGCTCGTATACCATTAAGCCACTGGGACCCGAGCCAATGGCCCATGAATTCTAACTTCTGCTAATTCACGACATAGCGCGACTCCTAGCCAATGCCTTCGGTGAGTATTTGTTCTCACACCCGACCTGCTGCCCCCTACTGGTCACAACTTCAAATGGTAAAATGATCAGGACGTTTGAGTAACGAATGTGCAAATAAATGTTTCATTGATTCTACGAGCGTATAAATGGATTGTGCTACTGGCATAGCGGACAACAGCCACACCTAGTTGACCAGCCAATCTGTGTTGAGCCGGTGTTGAATAAAGAAGGAAGATTCGGTTTGAAACTAGTGACCCTACGACCCCTCAAAAACCAACTCAGCTACTACAGAAACTTCAAAGCAGACTTAAAATGTAAAAAATAAAATTATTAATTGATTAAATTTTTTTCAACAGAATGGTGACTGAACAAAGAATACTCTTTTCGATAACCTGCTCTTCATCATCAGGTTCTACAGTTATATATACACATTATAGTGAATGAATGAATTAATGTTATGAACAACATCAATGTTGTTTAAATAAAATCGAATCAATAACAATAGTATCAGTGGATTACAGTTCAATATCATCAACACAACAACAAAGTAAATGTCAGAAAAATTAGGAAATATAATAAAACAAATTCATGAATTTATAGTCTCTACGGAAGGCCTGCCAGGGCAGTAGTTGTGGCTGGCTGGACTTACTTCTTTTGCACACAAAGCACTGGTTGTTTGACGCGAATCGCGATAGACTCTGCTGTTTGAAGCATGCGGTACTTCGATGATTTTGGCAATTTATTCGGCACCCGGTAGATGAGAGAGAAGGATTCTTCAATGCTGGCTGGCTTTGTGACCGGTCGGTTTGGACCAGGTAGTGTAATATCGAACTGTTGATGGTTTCTACTACACCTTTACTTAGCCATACTGAGAGATGTTCTCAAGCGAGCGCGAAAAATCAAGTCCCTTGAGCAACGGCTCATATAACTCGCTCCACAAGCGCAGTTGAACTGCTAGATACAATTGGAAACGGCTGGTCTAGGTACTTCATCTTTCAATGGAGAAATCATCACCGGTTGTGTAGAGAATAAGACGTGTAGTTTGCCAGCATTAAAAGTTCTTTGAACCGATTTTTTTAATTTCTTCGTAATTATTTCACTTGGTATATCGCCCTTGAATCGCAGTTGTATATATAAAGGCTTGTTGTTTACGGATATTGAGTAGTCCTTTTCCGCTTTCTTTCTCATTTGTTTCTTGATAAATTTTTCGGGATAGCTATTTTCAATCAAGGCATCATATACAATGCTCGATTCATCTTCACTTACTTTTTCTGAGCACATAGCTCTAACTCTTTGGCCGAGTGAGGGTCTTTACTAAATTTCTTTTGTACTTGAGATGAACGAAGCTGTCAAAATGTGTGTATATTTTCCTGTCCATGTGCTTTTTCTATGCAAATTTATTTTTATGTCACCATCTGGTTTTCTTGTAAGGAAGACATCCAGGAAGGCAACTAATTCTCTTTTGAGATTCCTCTTCGCACGTGAATTTCATAGCAGAATGTACTGCAGTTATCGAAAAGAGTATTCTTTGTTCAGTCAGCAGTCTTTTGAAAATAAACTTATACCTCGCTAGAATCGAAGAGAAGGAAATGAGGCTGGTTGTAGGAAGCCTTAGGGAAACCAGTAAGCTGATGTATCTACTTTCGATGAGGACAAAAACTAAGCAAGGAGTCAAAAGCAACAGCGGAAAAGGGAGACGAACCGTCATTAATCTTCAATCAGCGCTGAAATCTACTGCAACAAACATCTGGAGAGTAAGATTCGGATTTTCAACACCAAGCTTAAGTTAATTTGTAGGGCTTCAATGTGGTTCAGAGAATTAGGGAGAGATGTGTGGCGACAACTGTTTACAACAGCGTGTTGGAGACTTTTATCGACAGCTGTCTTACCTCAATACTCATGATCAAATAGTCAGGAATGATAAGCAACAAGGACCTCCGAACTTGATGCAACCAAGAACTTGCATTCCAACAGAAATATAGTAGAAAATGGAGATGGATGGATGGATTGTACATTCGCATTGAATACTGTTGACTGATTCCGTGGGTCAGATCGTCAAGTGGAACTGGAATGGGAAACAAGGAGTTAGTCGTCCGACGGTGAGATAGAAGAGTTTGTGTAGGGAGGCGATGAGATGTTATGGGTAATCGTGGAGCCAACCAGAGGTGACCACAGAGAATAGGACGGGATGGAGACGTCTTGTTGAAGCCCTGTGTTCCACTCAGAAGCCAAGAGGGAGAGTAACAATGGTGCAAACAAGTTACCAGATTACCTATTTAGGTTCAGTCTACAGTGTACAGGGGCTGTATCATAGTTTAATATTCCCACACTCATTGCACCACGTTGTTCGTGAATCCGGAGTTATTCACCTGATTTCACTGGCCTCCTCTAACTGTGGAGGTTTAAAGCATTGAGTATAAGAATAATATTCAAAGTGTCCAATCCTAATGTCAAATTACCGCTTCTATACAATTCACAGATATGCTTGGTAGTCACCACCGACAGCATTTCCAAGAGGCTTCTGCAACCGTTCACTTACAACCGCTTTCTGTCGACAATTAGGATCACACAGCCAGTTGGAAAGGATGAGCTACAAATAACTCTGGCAGAGAACCTGTGACCGAACAGTCATGCAGAAGAAAATAGAGACTATTAGTAAGGTTGTATCCTATAGTATGAAGGGTTCGGCGCAGACTTCAATATGAAGATAAACTGGCGGTCTAAAGACGATATCTACTCCTTCAAATCAATTCATACAGACAGCTACGACGCCGATTCGACTAGAAAAATCACAGATCTTAGAAAAAAGAAGCAGAAAACAGGTAAGGGGATTCGCACAAACCTTGTACTCATCCGAATCTGTATTTGACATACGCATCTAAATATATGTGATTCACTAAACAGTAAAGAGGACGTCACATGAATGAAATGTCAACGATCAGGTCAGCCCTGGCCCTCACAACAGGGTGAGAAAATCCCTTGAATCAACCAGTCATACTGCAGACCATCAGAGAGAGAGAATATCACTACGCTCAAGGAGGACTTGTCAAGCGCAATTATTCTCGAAAATAACGGTGAAGAATTTGTCTGAAAGGAAGACGATAAATAGCGTCGACATTAAGCTGTCCAACTAAATCATCCGTCTAACCTACAAATTTTAAAACAAGCAACTGATGTGGTTAATAAAGCAGGATTTAATGAATTCATCAAATTTTTGGTAGAACTCGTCAGCTGAATATATATATGTATTGAAAGAAAATGTTTTCAATTTCAGAGGCTTGTATAATTCGAATTTATAAACCAGGTCTCTGTGTACAAAGGGAGATGGTCGTCACTCTGAATCTACTATGGTAATACGTTTTACTTATTATTCAACCTCCTATTATTATTATTATTCTTGATTCATTTAAAACTATCCTTTGTCAGTAGCATTTTCTTAACTCACTTCAGTATTATTATTATTGTTATCATTATTATTGTAACTATTACTATTGATATTACTCTGTTTACAATTCTTGATATATTCTCTAATGACTAATTGTTTATCTCTCATACTCTTTCTCCCCTTATCTATTTGAACATGACCTAAAGAAAACATTTACACCTGTCTTTCTGCATGACTAATTCAATGTAGTTTGTTTACTTATCAGTTTTATATCTCCCAATGTAATTTCAAAAGTATATATATACGTGGATGCAGAGTATTCAGCTGACGAGTTCTACCAAAAATTTGATGAATTCATTAAATCCTACTGTATTAACCTGCTTTGTTGCTTGTTTTAAATTCGTATCAGGACCTTTCATGGTCATCCCTTATTTTATCAATCTCTAAGAAAATGTTTCGTCTTACCTTCTACATTAAAAAGTTAAGACAATCAGGTATCAACCAACCTTTAGTTCTGCAACTTTTAAACTCCTGTATTTTACCTATTGTACTCTATTGCTCTCCATTAATATTTCCTGGGCTTCTCAAAAAAGACTATATCATATTACGAAGGGTATTAAATGCTGTGAGTAGGGCTTGTGGTTTGCCACTGCGTGAGCTCGCCAATACTATAGTCGAGAGACACATAAATTCCTGTACAAAATGGGCAAAGGTCGTACTGTCAGACCCCCTGCACTCCCTTTATTCACAACTATCCCCTTGTATCTCATCAGGTAGGACGAGAAGTCAATATAAAAAGTTATATGCTCGAACCACTAAGTACAAGAGTTCTACAATACCATATTTAGCCCGTATTTTATGTGATGAATACTCTGTTAGACGTGAAACATATAAGTTACTATGTAATTAGCATAGTGAATCGAACCTTTCATTGTTCACCTTTCTGTAATTGTGTGGTGTCATCCTTTCTGTCGTTTAATTATAACTCTGCTATTTTTATTTTAGTTATTATTACTATTATTACTACAATTTTATACTTTATGCGTATTTTTCTCCTTATCGCATACTGTAATTGCTACATAGCTGGTATAAAAACGTATTGTTATCATTATTATTATGTAATTGTTTATTTTTTCGTCGTTTTGAGTAAATTAGTTTCAATATTGTTCTGAATGCTGAAAATTCCTTGCTGTATCATTAGTACTGTTTTTGGAATAAAGCAAAAATTATTATTATTATAAATGTTTTCAATTCTAAATAATCTACAAATCTTCTCCATCATTTCAACATGGACATCAGTTGAACAAGCAGTGTGGTTGCCTTCAAATAACGCCATATACTCTAGACATAAGTGTAAGCAACTTCTAGAGATACTTGAGACACTTTTGTGAAATCATGCATACTTCCAGAAGTATTGTCATTAATATTATTTCTCACAGACAGAAGACCTTATGATATTGAAAAAGAGCAGTCAGTTTTATCTTTTTTCAATTTTACCTTGGTAAATGCTATCTGGACAAAGACAGGTTTTGAGGCTAGCTCCAAGTTATTGACTCCAATCCCTGTTGAATTTTTTGTGCATACCAATACGACATTTGATGAATTTGGTTTATGAACTTCAACAGTTATGTCATCTCCACACTAAATGTAACAGAAAACAACGAAAAAGGTTACCCACAAAAGTTCATTGACAAGTATGGTGGTAGACGTCATGTTGAAAAAGTGAAAGGCAGCACAGTAGAGAAAAAGCCTATCTTTCTGCAGCTTGCATTCAAAGGTGATGATACTGCCAGTAGAATAAGATGCAGACTGATTGCTGTCGTGAAAAGAACATATCCAGCCAGCGCCAAGCTTGTATTTATTTATCAAACAACTATTTGTTTGAGACAATCAAAAGTGGACAAATACCCACCTCATGTTACCTCCAACTGTGTCTAACAATTTACATGTTGTACGTGCCAAAGCACATACATCGGAAGAACAGAGAGAAGGGTTATTGTCCGCATTTCTGAACACATACCAAAGAACCTGAGACTGAAAGGTCCACAAGTATTAAAGAGTGCAATTGCGCGTCATCTATTAGACACTGGTCATAATGTAGACAACTTGAAGTCATTCAAAATAATCAACAAGCAAGAGAAACGTAACTTGCTACGCTTTGCTGAAGCAATTGCTATCAAACGACTTAAACCAAATCTATGTAGGCAGAAAGAGACAGTGGTGAATCTTGCACTGCCCTGGTGACAACAACAACAAAAAAATACAACAGCTTGTTTTTGTTTCCAAGCCTAATTGCCTAATTATTCTATAAATATTTATAAACTGTCAAATATTGATCACAGTTCATTTGAACTATTCTATAAATAGTCGGTGTTTGTCACTCTTAATTAGTTAAATCATTCCTGACTAATGTTACTTTTACTTCCTACCAATTACTCCTTGTGATCGTGGAAAAGTATGTTCAAATCTTTAATGTAATGTTATTCATATTTTTCATCGTTCAGGTTGTAACCAGTTGAGAAGAATCCTCGAAATAATAAAAGATGAGCTCATATTATCCTGGTACAATTGTTGTTCTTGCTTTGTTCAAGTTTATTAATGGGAAGAATTGCATGGAGTTTTTGAAAAAAGGTTTGTTTTTTTGTTTTTCACAACAGTTGTAAGATACGGATTATTGTAAAATGAAACCAGTTGTCAAGAGAAATGAACGAGAGTGACAACTTACTAGCCAATGTTTTGGTTCATGAAGTATCAATCAGACCAGAAGCCTATCTGCTGGCAGTTGTTTTCAACGTCAAGGGTCATTTAAGGACCAAAGTTCTCAAGAGATAGATATATTTTAAACTCTTAGCCAACTTCATGACTGTCCAAGAGCTTACAATTCCTTTGTGCATAACGTTCTCTAGGTTAGACTCAGGTCCACATTACACTCATGGCTCTCTAATCAGTTTCCACTCGATCGCCTACATCGCGATGCTAGTCAGTAATCTCTTAGGCATATGTGTAATCCATTTCAAATCTTTAAATTTTCCCACTATTAATACTAGAACAAGACGATATAACCGAACAATATTGTTGTTTTCAATTAGATCTTCTTCTTCAGGCTTTACTCTAATATACAAAGATTTGTATATTTAAAAAGTTTAACCAATGACGGTGATTTTATGGATCAAATAATAATAATAATGCGGTAAATGTTTTGAACGTCAGTAATAACGATGATTATAATGATAACAAAAATAATGATAATAAGGTTTATGCAGGTGGCGATAAGAATGATGAAGGTAGTAATATGTGTGTATATGTAGACAATTCAGTATATAAATAAATAAATACGCAAGAGTAACTATGACTTTCTTAAGGTAGCCAAATGCCTCATCATCTAATTCCGCCCAGTGCTCCGAGCGTCAACGTGCAGAAACTCACCAGGGCATGGGGAATGGCGGGATAACGAAAAGATGGCGAACTACGAGTGTCTTCTCATGACGTAGACATGTGGCCTTGTGCTATGTGCACCGTCGGGTTGACGCTTGAGGGCATGGCTGCGCTGACAGGTACCGCCGCGTGATGCCCGCTGGGTGGGATGGTTTTCCGGCCGTCTCAGCAAAAGTCTGTCAGATATGGGGAGCTATTTCTCAATTTGGGAGTGCCGTTCATGGTTTGCTTGCAGATATCCTCTTGGACGTGGGGCGTTCTTGGGGAGCTGGAGCATTCTGTGGACGGTAGCCTGGTCATGAAACCGAGTGGGAAGATTGTCGGGGAGAGTCTTGAATCCCAATACCAACTGGGAGAGCGAGATTCTCATTAACTCGGCTGACCTGCAAGAGGATCATTTCCGAGACTAGCTCGCCAACATGGGACAACATCTGCGCCCAGTTATTCAGCCTTGATGAAGCAGCGATGCCATCCATCAGCCTTATGGAGGTGTACGGGGCGTCGGCGGGATCAGTAGTTCTGTGGGATTCTTGGTGAGAGGATTGAAGCCCATAACAAATGGCCAGCGGATGGCTGTGAGAGATGGTAACCCGAGCCGCAAACCGCAACTTGGTGCAGGTTGTTAGCTGAGGCCATACTCAAGCAGTGTCTCATGTTGTGGGGTTGTGGATTGGCGGTCGGGATCTCGGTCCTGAGTCAAGGCCGGTTGGCTCCAGTGCGCATATGTCCCCGAGAGGATGCGCCTTGTACGTACCAATTGGGGGAGCTTGCATGAAGAGTGACCTGGGGAGTTCGTTTTGGGACTGAGTCAGTTACTGGGGCGGCTCGCGATAAAGCAAAACTCGTACTCCTTTTACCTCGTGAAAGGCAATTGGCATGTGCGAAGAAGGGTAAATCAATTTAGCCAAATGTCTCGTCATCTAATCAATGTTAAGGTCATCAGGAGGAGCCCTACATGCGGTGCGAGGACCGACATCCTTAGACCATCGTGTGTTTTCCAATATTGGCTTCTATTGTTAAGTCTACATTTGGCTACGAAGTTCCGCCCACTGCTGAGTGTCAACGTGAAGGAACTCAACTGGGCAAGGGAAATAGCGGGCCGATGGTTTTGGTTATATGTGGCAGGCGCCTCCGCGTGGCGACCGCTGGGTGAGGCTTATCGGCCGGAAACCGAACCTCAGCTAAGACCTGTCACTTGCATGTGACAACATCCGTGTCTGGTAACTCAGTCTTGATGAAGCGGCGGGCCGTCCTTGGCTTTATGCGTTGTACGGGACATTGGCGGTCCAAGGTCTGTTGGATTCTTGACGAGAGAGCCGGGACCAATAACAACTGGTTAACGGGCGGCCATGGAGGACTGGTACCCCCAAACACGAGGCGCGGCGGGGCAGCTGTTAGTCGAGGCTAGTCTGAAATTGTGTCTTGTGCCGTGGGCTGTGGATTGGAGGCTGGGATCTCGGCCATTAGGCAGGTTTGGGCTGTCTCCAGTGCACATGTGTCCCTGATATAGATGTTCTGGTATTGGCGCGAGGGGGACTGCTCTATGGCTGTACTAATGGTAACGGAAAGAACGACCTTCCCTCTCATAACACATTTGCGATGGTCTTTGGCGGGCATGCATTTGTGCTAAGTCGGTACTCAGGTAAAACTACTAGACAATTCAATATATAAAGAAATCAGGTCAAATCTTAAAAGCTACGTAATACTAACAGTGAAGTGGACAGATAGTCAGAGTTCAAATGAATATCAGAGAAGTACTTGGGAAATGGGAAATAAGAAAGGACGGGAGAGTTTTGATTAGAATTCACCTAGGCCAACCTTGGGAGAGACGAAGGTAGAACAAACTTCTTTTATTGTATGCAAAGACTAGTATTGTTCTCTCAAATTAATTTCCATAGCTCCGGCTATGTTTAAAACGGGCGAGTTCGAATTCCGTCCGAAAGGCTCGATAAAATGCGGTAGATAACTTTGAAGGCACTATTTTTGTCCACTTGGTGACCGCCATCATCAATTAAATGAGCCAAAATAGAACTTCTTATAGATTTTATTTGTCCTTTTCTGAACCATGGAAGAAGATGCTCATTAATGCGTTCGTTTAGCTGTCTAGTTGTTCGCCCTATATAGCCAGCTCTCTCCACAGAAGCAGCTAAATTTGTAGATACACATAGAAGTGGCACAGCAATCATAATTGGTCAGCAGCTAGAAAATGACAAACAAAGGGTGGTGGCGGGAGTATAAGTCAGTTATATTGCTCTCGATAATCTCAGGTGTAAGACTTCACTAGCCACGTCCCCATTAAATTGCAATTTGAGGAATAGTTGTTTTTAGTTTCTCTTTATTATAACCATTATTCATGTGTCTCTTTAGAAATTCAGTAGGATAACCCATTTGGACCAGCGTATTTTTCTAGGCGGTCATCTGTACAGATCCGTCTTACTCTATTCGTGAGGATTCGGACCAAATTGATTTTGAATCGGATTTGTACAAAACTGAGGAAATGTGTATATTGTCCTACAGATGTAGGTTTTATATAGAAGTCCCTCTTGAGTGAACCAACCGTTTCAATTTCCCTCTGAATATTTTCCAGGAAATAGCCTCTTGGATGGTTCCTTGCTGGAATTTCTTGTTGTTTATCCTTTCTGGACGGCTAACTGATCCTCACTGCTGAGCAAAGGCATTCCACGTTAAGGGCTTACTAGGCGGTCATAAGCTCGGAGCATGAGCGAAGAATCTAAAAGACGTCGCAACAGTCACTACGATATACTTTCAAAACTGCATTAGTTATCAAATCATTGAAGTGAGCGGGGAGTGTAGTTAACTATCTCCCGATTGAAGTGATTAGCTTTACTTTGCAGAACCTTGGGGGAGAACTGCCCACTATCGATAGTTTTCATATGTACCAAAGATATATAGATGATACTTTTCTCGTATGTGACAAGATTGCTAACACCAAAAATCACAAATGAAAAGGAGTTCAACAACTGCCATCCTTTTATCCAGTTCACGTCGATATCAGAGATGAACTCAGAATTCTTCTTGTTGGATGTTTTGCTAAAATGGATATATGACGGTTCTCTTCTTACGATTGATATCCAGGAAACCGATATAAAATGACCAATACACGAATTATCATAGTTGGATCCTTTTGAGAAGAAAGAGAAATATGATCCACTCAACAACTGAACTGATGTATACCCACAAAAGTG